CTGACTGCTCTCATATACAAACTCCAAATCACTTATCTAATCAGATATCAATTGTGGCACATATAATTAGCGCTGCTTTAACGCTGTTAGAGACAGAGAAGAAAAGCATGTACACAATTTACACACAAATAAGCAATTTGATTAGAATAAAACATTACTGCTTGAATTTAATGGCCGCACGGCCTATGCGTATTTCAGATTCTATCTGCAGCTCATGCCATAAATTCGAGCGCCTCACATGTCTTCATTTGACGCGGCTGTCGCGGCGCCTCCACACGCCCCCCGCACGCCCACAGGCCGAGTCGTGTAGCTGGAACTTAAAGTAGACCAGGCCGCGTCAGCGACAAGCTTGTCGACAAGCACTTGACACCAGCAACTTATCCATAGATACTTATGAATGAGACCGGTAAAGAGCAGCCTGTCTGTCTGTCTCTGTGTGTGTGTGTGGGGGGGGTGGAGGGAGTGTGGCAGTGTGTGCGTGCATTTGTAGCAATGCCTAACGTTTATTTTATAGTATGTAATATATGCGCCATTTGAGCAGAGTTTAAGGATTTGTGTGAGGAGGGGCACACGAGGGCAGAGAAGCGCAACAGAACTGCACACACACACATACACATACACACACACACACACACACTGACAATATGCTATTACACACATTGTTGAGCAAAGTGAGTCTATATTTGTCAGAGTTTTTGCTAAACGACTTGACATTGATTATAGCTTTGTGGTGTTCCTGTACTTAATACTCTTCTAGCCATGGCGAGTGAGTTCTTCGCTTTCGACTTGTTTGCCTGGAATTGTTGAGTGTGCAGTTGCCAAGCCAAGTCAAGTTCTTAAGCCACTGGTATTCGGAGTGTTTGGCATGTGGGTCTTAAGGGTCGACTTTTCAAGGCATTAAATACTTATTTATTTATATTTGTTAGTAAAGTATTCCCGGCAATATTTTTAACAGACTTTGACCTAAATTGTTTAACAATTTTCAAGTGAAATTCTTGAGTAAAATATGTAGGCATTTTTGATAAAACAAATATATAAAAATGTGCTCACGAAACATCATCCCAGAGTGGCTAACAGCTAATTAGCTAAAAGCCAACTATTTTTAAATGGCTCTGTCAACTATGACCTTCTTCCATAAGTGGCCTGTGCCTTGGGTAGGCCGAGTTCTCGTAGTTTCAGACAGCCATGACTGCATAAATAAATTATTTATGTATTATATGTATTCGTTTTTAAATATTTTTATACTGAATGTCATTTATTGTAAAAGAAATAAATATATATAGTCTGTGCTCTCCTCTGTCACAATTCAATTGATATCAGCTTTGTAGCATGTTTACTTGCCTTCTGGGCGGCTTTTCTCATTTCTTTTTCCCCCGTTTAGGAACACAACAACACTCACTTTGGCATTGTTGTCGACATTGTCAACATTACTTCCGATGCTTTAGCATTGACCCAGTCGTATTTGCACAGATTCTACAATGCTGATGCTCGCCTGCATACATATGTGACAGTGACACTGAAATGTTGCCTCTATTTCTATACGATTGTTTATTCATGATGTCCGCTGTCGCTGCTGCCGTTGCTGCTGCTGCTGCCATTGATGTTACTGTTGCTGTAGCTGCGTTTCAGGGTTTTTACCTTTTTCGCCTGTACAACATGACGTATGAGCAATGTGCATTTAAATTTCAAAGCGGAAACTTTTAACCTGCCTGCTGCTGCCTGCTGCCTTCCTGCTAACTGAAATTGATTTGTGTGTTCGAGTTCAATTCAATTACGAGCAACTAGCTCATCTGCCACTGAATTGGCCTAAAAATAGCCAAGTTGGCCCAAGAGCCTGGGACTTGTGTCCTGTGACTGACATGAAATGCTGTGCATGGCAACGCATTCGTTAAATGGATATTTTTGTACAGCTATGTGCTTAATTTGCTTGTCTGGCTTGTTGCGCATTACGTGAGGTGAGTTCCATTTAAAATGCAGCAAGTGTGAAGCGAAATGGATGGATGCCATTATCCCGGCCATCAGAGCCAACAATAACAATAATGGCATTGTGCTCAGTTTATTGCATGCGTGTGCATCTTTCATATTTTCAATAAGACAAGCTGAACGATGAGCCCGGATGGCGCACGCTGTCTTCGGGCTGGCGGCGTGCAAATGCTTAATTACATTTGCCCCACACGCAGTCACGGCACGAGGGTGTCCGCTCGGATCTGGGATCTGTTGCTCATGCGTTGCTGCCTGCGCATCCATCATCGAGGCGTCAGGATAATAGGCAGCCAGCTTCGTCGTATACTCTCCTCTTCTGTCCTGTTCTTGCTCAGCGTATTCAGGATGCATGCTGCCTAAGCATCCAGTGTCGAGTGTGGCGCGTTTTGCTGCCTTTCAATTGATATTGCATGTCTTTGCCGTCAGTCAGACGCACACACGCAGACGTCGCACTCCCCCGCTCGCGCTCATCTGTAAGGCATTTTCAATTTTCAACTTTGTTCATCCACGTTTCCAGTGGGCGCTGTGCTAGGTAACGTTACAGCGACGACGGCAACAGCATTTCCGCTTTAATCACAAGTCTCTGTGTGTGCGTGTGTGTGTGTGCGTGTGTGAGAGTCGATAGAACAGTTGGACTTTGCATGCTAGCGCTCTGGTGTATTCCATTTCCGTTCCGCCCCCCTGGCCATGGCTCCCGATTGTTGTTTGAGGTCCCTTTTTGTGCCTTGGCTGGTGGCACAGTTAAACTGTCATTGTCATTTAAATGTCTCTTGACTGTTGCTGCTGTCATTGTTCTTTCAGTTACTGTAACTTTGTATGGCACAAACACACACACACACACACAATCTCACAATCGTATAGCTGTAACAGGCACTCACTCGCATATGCCCACACATTCATCACATTAAATTGATTTTTTTCCCTCGTTTGTTTCAACTAACTGGTTCTCGTTAAGGCTTAGGGCTAACCGTACGGCTATATGTAGGGATGCTTGACTGTGTGTGTGTGTGGGCAGTGCATTCCTAGCTAGTTTTCAGTTTATTTATAGCGTTTTAATTAATTTTGCAAAGCTTTGCAGGTAACTATGAAGTGGTGGCATTTTTATTAAGGCCCACACAGTTGTGTAAAGCCTTCGGATATAGCATGATTTTTCCCTTAGCAAGATTTTCAATAAAAAAAAAAAAAAAAACGAAACAAATTTTTATAAAAATGAGGAGAACTGAGGACAAGTTCAAATTTGTATTCCATTTTTCTTGAAATTTGTTTCTTCAGCCATTTGTTTAGGCTACGCTTTTAAAACACAGTAAAGCCTTGCTTCTTGGTATTTTGGCAGAAAGGAAAACTTTCACAAACATTCTAGGAAACTCAGAAAGATCCCTAAGATACCCATTGTTTATATTTAATACTTCCGATGTTTCTTTTTTATTTTTTAATTTTTAAAATTTCCTTTAACTGCATGCATGTTCTTTTCATTATTATGATTATTAATTATTTTTTTTTTTTATTTAGTTGAACATATTTTTTAAATTTAATTTGATTCAATTATTAATATGAAAAAAGAAGCTTACACTTAAGCGTTTAATAAATACAAGTTAATACTTTTTCCATGTATATTAAAATATATTTATGCAATAAATACAAGTTAAATCTCCTTTTTTTTATATTTAAATACATTTTGTTCAATTTATTGGCGCAATAATTGCCAGCTATGGCAAATTGAGGCAATATTTGCCGTAATTTATGAACAATGCATTAAGAGGGCTTTTATTTGTATTTAAATATGCTTGACGTTAATTAAACAGTTGTTTCAGTTTTATTGCAATTTATCATTTGTTTTTTCTTTTCCGTTCCTATTTATGTTTGACATTGTAATTCGCTTTTAATGGAAGCCCAAGCACATGCGTGTGTGTTATCAGACGTTAGATACAAACATACACACACGCACACACATAACCACGAGAGCTTACTAACTAACGTTCAAGTTTGTTGTGGCTGCCACAACGAACCGTCAATCTATGCCACATGAAATTTTTTTCGACTGCCTCATGCTGTGCCTCTCTCTCTCTCTCTCTCTCTCTCTGTCTCTCTCTCTCTGCGTGTGCTGTGCATTGCCGTTTTGAATTGATTTTGGCTATTTTTATTTTTATTTTTATTTTTGTCAGCACACTGATATGCTCAATATTATAACTGAATTTTCCTTTCGAAATGTCAAACGTTTTGCTGTTCCTCCCAGTTGCACTTCGGGCTCCGCTGTGCTTCATATTTTAGCACTTAAGAGCGCACTTCGGGGAATTTAAAGAAAACTGTTCTGGTTGCCCCAAAGCAACTTGCAGAGAAAGAGAAACGTAGGTAATCTAATAGAAATGAATACAGGTCTGTAAATGAACCAGAAGTTGCACATTGCCAAGATTCTGGATGCTCCCTTAAATGGTGCTAAAAGTGCGCCCAGAGGTATGCAACATTTTTGGCTAACGACTTTAAGAGCAAGCAACGATGCAAACTTGAAATTGTAGAGTTGGTAAGCAACATTATATTGTCACTAAAGATAAAAACTTGTTTATATTTACAACTAAAGTTTTTTGAAATAAAAATATACTATTATAAGAGAGTCAAGAGTAAAAGGAAAACCCAATGAAAAAGAAAAGCGAAACTCTGCAGATATATATTTCACTCATTCGATTTTAACTAGAAATTTCGTCGCTTTGAAAATATTTTATGATAAATAATTGTCTGCCTTTTACGTATTTTACAGGTCTTAAATTGATAGCCGAGAAGGCAGCAACTGTTATGCGATCCTTTAAGCACTGCGGTACTAATTCGTAGAAGCAAAAAAAAAGTAAGCCACAGCCTCAACCACAACAACACCCACAACAACAAAAACAATTACCAAGCTGTACCGACAAAGGCGGCAACCGAATCGGCTTATTGGAGTGTGTTTGGGGATCTTGCAGTTGACAGCGGCGCAAAGAACAACAAAGGCAAGCCCACGCACACTCCCAAAGAGAGAAAAACACACAGATACACGCACACACACACGCACACGCACACAGACACACGGACAGCTAGATAAAACGAAACTCAAAGGACAGCAAATAGGGAAAACTCCGTGAACCTGTATAGTATGTCAAGTGGACGCAGTGCACGCCTACCGCCCACGCCCACGCCCACGTCCACGCAGAACGCCAACAACAAGCACCGCGTGGCAGCTGCAACATCCGCCGTAGCAGCAACGGCAGTCGGTGAGCCCAACAGCAACAACATGCTGCAATACAGCAGCGGCAATGCAACAGCCAACGGCAGTGCTGGCACGGCGTCGGGCTTAGGCGTAAGCGGCCTCCAGATGGCCTCCATGAACATGGGCATGGGCAGCATGTCGAGCGGCATGCTGCCAAGCGGCTTTGGCCTTGGCCAAATGTCCGGCGGCGTCAGCACTGCGACGAGCGACGTGGGAACCGACAGCATACCCGGCGAGACCATCGATGCCCTGGGCCCCGAGCTGGCAGTGGCCACCTCGCAGGTGCTCGAAAATTTGTCGGAAAACGAGCGGAAGATGATCATTGAAGTGCTCAATCGGGATGAGTCGGTGCGGCAGCGCGATGCGACCAGGATAATGTGAGTACCAGCAACTAGCCCTAATTGAAAACGTCCTGGCCCAATGCTGCCTTAAAGCCTCTGTGTACAAATCTATCCCGAAGAGGACGCTTGAAAAGCACTCGAAGCTGAATTATCATTTAATTTGTTTACTTTTAAGTTGAATTGCCACTTGCAACTAGGATTAGGATTGGGTTCGGCAGAGTACAGCTCTTAACGAATGTATGACAGATGAAATGGTCTGTGTAAATGGCTTCTCTATCATCTGGGTTTCCGGGCGCCCCTCACACATTGACATAAACAGCTGCTCATGGCAGTGGCGCTGCTGTTCCAGCCAATTAACCTGACCATTCGGTCTGCCCTTAACGGCTCAACTATCCACCTCCCTCGGGCTTTATAGCTGCCCGAGTGAGTATTTCCGTGCAGTCATATTATTTTGGCTATTGGCACTTGTCGCAGCAAGGTGAACCAGCTATATTGGCTATCAAAGCCAGCCAATTCCCTCTGACTTCACTGGCTTCAGCGCTTGGCCTGTTTGGTGGTTCGCCTGTGGCAAACACTTTTTGGCCACTGCGACGAGCTTCGATCGGGCTTAATTGCTTTTCGTGGCAGCTTTAAATTGAAAATAGAGCAATGCTGCATCATGTAGGTGAACTGAAAGCGCTAACTCTCAGGAAATACGAAACATTCTTAACTGTTTGAACTATTAATTATTGAGTATTGTTTTCATTCTCTGTTGAAGAGAGAGAGAGAGAGAGAGAGAGAAGTCAAAAGATAAACAATTTCCAAGGCAATTTCACTGAAATTTTTATAATTTATTGGAATTCTGCCGCATCGATTGGTTAATTTAATAATTGAAATATTTAAAGATGCTTTAATCAGTGCTATCTGCTCTGGGCACTCACTTTTCGCCTTTGTTCTGCGCATCTTTTAATGTTAACTTAATTAAAAGCCACGAAATGCCTGAGCCATTAAACCATAATTATATACAATATGCAGAGTTTGCTTTTGGCTTTGAGTGCGTGTATGCTCGCATGTGTGTGTGTGTGTGTGCTCGTATGATTTTTTAATTAAATGTCGACAGAGCTGTTTGGCAGCTGCAACACGAAATGCCAGACTGCAGCACACGCATATAAAAATCTGACGTTAATGCATTTAGTGATGGCCAAGTGGCTGCGCTGTGAGTTTCTTAAATTTGCCAAGCTGCAAGCGCCACAAATGTGTCGCACCTTGCGTAAGGCCACAATTTACTACCTTATTCACGTGTGTGTGTGTGTGTGAAGCTGCGGCTTCTGTGCGACAAATAACGCGCATGCCTCTGGCGCAACCCCCCTCCCTCCGAATAAACTCGTGCTGAAGCCCAATGGCAGTTTTCGGCTCAAGGCAGAGCTTAGCTCCTTTTGCCGCCTGTGACATTCAATTGATATGCGCGAAAAATTGTTTTCGCTTCGTTTAAGCGGCTTTTGTTCAATCGGATCCCCTATGTCACTTGCGATGCGAACGTTTCTATTCACTGGAAACCATTGTTCTCCAGCCCGAACCTAAATCAAACGCATCTGACATTTTACGCTCCATTCGTGTGAGGTTTATATTGTTTGTTGGCCATTTTCCAAAACCTAGACCAACAGCAAATTCGCATTTTATGTGCTCTAGAGCCATTGAAAGCGTGTAATTGTTGAAAGGCATTAAGGAACACATTCTTAGAAACTCTATTTTACTTTCTCACTCTCAGTGCTTTCTCTCGGTCTCTTTCAGTTTCCATTTGTTGTCAACAATTCTTTTCTAGTTTTCCTGAAATTATTTTTTATAAATTTGTAGATCATCAGACGGCTTAGACTATCTATTTCTTAAGTTCTCTCTCTCTCTCTCTCTCTCTTGCACTCAGCTTTGCTTTCATTTGGTTGATTTTCTGCAGAGTTGGGCTCAATTTGTATGTGATGTATGTATGTATTTTAGTTGCGTGTCGACATGTTTTTGCTTTTAGCCAGCTCTCGATACACAGTTTGAGTATTGGGTTAGCACTCTAATGGCGACTTATGGCGACATGTAGGTAATCAATTGAAAAAATATTAAATAACTATATACAACAGAAGACCAGCTGCCCAAAGAGTGCCTGACTATATCTTATATATTGATGGGGTTTAGTATGGCATACCAAGTTTTACATTTTACACCATCTAGTTCAACCCTTTACTTGATTGGGTTTCACACTGTTTATGCCAATATCAAAATGATTGACTAGCTGATGCCCTGTCACTGGGAATAAGCTGCCATAATTTAAGAATAAATTAGTTAGAATGATAAACATCTTTCTTCGAGCGGAATCCCTAATAGAAATACGAAATATTATGGGTATATAAATTTTCAATTTATTTCGAATTTCACATTTATCAAACTTGAGCCAGGGCCAACATAAATTTGACAGCAAATAGAGCAAACGCGTCTTGTATATTTGACTTCAATTAAAGAGCCGTCAGCAGGGGCTCTATGTATTGCGACATGGTATACAAGTAGCTTACAATCTAAACACTTAATGCGACTTAATGCCTCGTGTGGCACAAAGTTATTTGTTTTTTTTTTTTCCCCCTCTGCTGTTCTCTATTTTATTTTATTTTAGTGCCAACTCATAAAGATTTCTATTACACAGCCAGTTCGAATAATGTGCACATAAATCCAGGGCATTGCTTTCCGTTCGGGCGTTGATTTAGTTAAAATGTGGCCGCCTTTTAGGCGCTCCTGATTGCTTAATCATGTTGTGTGCATGTGTGCGTGTGTGTGTGTGTGTGTGCGACGGAAATGGCTAAATTGAAAAACGCCACTGGAGCTGATGACCAGCAGTGAGCGGTGCGAGCTGAAAATAGCCGGCAATAGGTCAGATGATGCCATGACAACAAAGCCTGCTGCTGCCACGTTTGTTGTCCCTGGCTCAGCTGTGCCAACAAATAATGCTTTCATAATACCCCCGACGAGTGGGCGTGGGCGTGGACCTGGGCGTGGGTGGAACTTCTCTTGAGTAAGGCGCCAATAATGACGCCCGCCCACAAATGGAAGATGATGAATGAACAATATTGCTGGCTTCGGCTGCTGAGCTCACGCTTCTTCAATTGTCGAGCAACGTCTGCCAGCTGGAACTGGAGTTGGAGTTGGAGCAGCATTTAAATGTTTGCCATTTCATTATCGTATTAATCAGTAGCCGTGTTGTCATTAACATAAAGCTGTCATTAACTAAAAGTAATTAATTTTCCGACTGCTCGCCTTTACATTTCGCGACAACTCCTGCGAATTGTAGCTTGGGCACTTAAAGTTTACAACCTGGGTCCATTACGAGTTCAAGTTTTATGAGTCATAAGATATCGAATTTGCATAGGAAAAACTTTGCCCAGCTCTGACAGTGGACGACAAATGTGACTTGGTTAAGCATGTTAAATGGAGATGAACAGGGAATTAGTTCATATATTAAAGCATTTTTGATAAAGACTAGAAACCTTGCCTTGAGTTGAAGTCAATGAAATCAATACAGTGTATCTGGGCAATGAATCATAATAAATGAAGCTTAGCTCGAGGGCAACGGGACACGCGCGACACTTCATCAAGTGGCCAAGTAGCCAGGCAACGCAATTAACGCGCTAATTTGTAGCATGTGGCATATATACATAATGGATGTGTGTATGATTGACCTGTCCACAACGGACGGCTGGGCCAAGATAACAGTAATAGATACCAATTTCACATAGACACCATCCTCTCTCTCTCTCTCTCTCTCTCCCTCTCGCTATTTCAAACTGTCCATCAATCTTGGTCAGCCCTGAAGTGTAGCTCCCCATGATTCGGCTGAAATTCCTTTGTTGCAACTAGCGAAATGTTGTTGCCTTTTGCTGCAGGCCTTTGGCGTCTGCATCTGTTGCCGCGTAATGAGCTCCTCGAAAACTTATCTTATTTCCGTGCCCAGATTCAGGCGCGCCTTTGAGTGTGTATCTAAAGATACCTGTGTTTGTCATTTCTTTTAACTAAATTAAAATTAGCTGTTGCTCTAGAACTTTATTAACTGAGCCGCGGCCCGTCTGCCCCTCGGCCCCTCGGCCCAGCTGCCTGTCTGCCCGTCTGCCTCTCCGTCCCATCCATCCCTGCGCACTTCCACTTCATTCCTTCATTATCATCTGCTGGCATTTGATTATGTGCCACTTTGTGTGCCTCGAGACGACTCCAGCCGAGTCGAGAGCGGAGCGTGACACGAACGCAGCTAAACGTGACTCGAACAGCTCAAGTTCAGATTTCAGCGTTGACTCTGCCTGTCACTGAAGAGGAAATAGGAGCAGAGCGCACCTGAGCAGAAATATGTGTGAAGTCGTTGCTTAAGCAAATACATATATAAGGCAATTTTACACCTTGGGAACAACTTTGCTCTGCTTAAAGCGATATCGATAGTTGTAGTTTGCTTAAGCGAATAATTATGCAGTGCATTGTAATGATGATGAGATATTGAAAAGGGAATATCTATTGTTGTTAAATAACAAAAAGAGTAGGAGTGAGAAGAAGACAGAGAGGGTGAGAGTGAGTGAGAGAGAGAGAGAGAAACTTGTAATTTTTGCCAATATAGTCCCCAGACACTCCAAGTGAGCTATTCTTTTGAAGTTCTCAATATGAATATATTTTTTTACTTTTTTGGCAATCATTATTATTATATAAAATATTCAATATAATTTTAAATAAATTTTAAACTTACTCTAGTATATGTATCTCTGATTATCTCTAGACTTAATACCTGCTACGTCCCCATATAAAATTGTATTTTAATGGGTAGTTAACTTTTATTCTCATTTAGTTTTTGCTCCTTCAGCTGCCTCGTGACACGCTTCCATCTTAGGAGACCCAGAAACTCCAGCACATTGTCGTGAGGGGTCCATTTGCTCTTGCCCCTTGGTTAGTTATTTTTCTCTGCTGGTGAATGTGGCCTGGGCTGCGCTGCTTTGCAAATTTCACTTGCTAATGCTTTTGATTACTTTTAATTACAATTTGGCTGC